CGGCTCTCCGAGTGCTCCCCCGGGGGGAATGGGTCTGGTCCTGCTGCTGCCTGACGTGGGTCGGGAGCTCTGCTGCCACGTCTGTGGTGGATTGTGAAGAGCTGGCCTGGAGGGTCTCAGTGCAGTGGAGCCGGTCGCCCCTTGCCAGCGCCCTGGGGGTCCCATCTCGGCATGGGGCTCAGCCGCCTGTCAGACCGAGGGTTCCTCGCTGGCACCCTGTGCTCGTGGACACAATAGCCTCGGGCCCGAGGGACGCCCCTCGGCATGGGGCTCAGCCGCCTGTCAGACCGAGGGTTCCTCGCTGGCACCCTGTGCTCGTGGACGCAATAGCCTCGGGCCCGAGGGACGCCCTTCGGCATGGGGCTCAGCCGCCTGTCAGACCGAGGGTTCCTCGCTGGCACCCTGTGCTCGTGGACGCAATAGCCTCGGGCCCGAGGGACGCCCTTCGGCATGGGGCTCAGCCGCCTGTCAGACCGAGGGTTCCTCGCTGGCACCCTGTGCTCGTGGACGCAATAGCCTCGGGCCCGAGGGACGCCCTTCGGCATGGGGCTCAGCCGCCTGTCAGACCGAGGGTTCCTCGCTGGCACCCTGTGCTCGTGGACGCAATAGCCTCGGGCCCGAGGGACGCCCTTCGGCATGGGGCTCAGCCGCCTGTCAGACCGAGGGTTCCTCGCTGGCACCCTGTGCTCGTGGACGCAATAGCCTCGGGCCCGAGGGACGCCCTTCGGCATGGGGCTCAGCCGCCCTGGAGAGAGCCGGCTGTCCCTGACCAAAGCCGCTCACCTGCAGCCCCAGGATGGCCTGAGACCTGCCTGTCCTTGCAGGATGCTTTTGCTGTCCTGTCCCCAGTCACTCCTTGTTTGGACCGGTTTTGTGTTCCGGAGGGAGAGGCTATTCTAGGATGCCGACATTCTCCCTCCAAGCTGCCAGTCTGGTTGTGCAGCCATCGCCAGCCATCTGAGAGCAGCCCTGTGTGGAACCCAGCGCCCTTTCCGGAGGGGGCGGAGGCTCTTGGGCTCAGCAGTGCCACTTCTCTCCAGAGTCTTTGGGATCCGCTATCCTGGAATAAGTCTGAGGGCAGCCGTGTTAGTCTGGCTCTGCAAAAGCGCAAGGAGCCCTGTGGCACCTTAGAGTCTCAGATGTATTGGAGCATAAGCTTTCGTGGGCAAAGCCCCGCTTCGTCAGATGCATTGGTCAGATCCCGGAATAGCCACTTCCAGCCGCCCTGGATAGCGGGCGATGGCCAGTCCCCGTCACAGCTCGGGCCGTGCTTCCTTTCACCGCCGCCCAAGTTTGCCTCCTTGGGACGGGGCTTTGTCTCCAGCCCTGCCTGCAGTGACGCCTTCCTTACCGCCCCAGTGTCAGCCGGAAGAGCCGGCCAGCGGGGGCGCTCAGAATCCACAACCTGCGTTCCCACCATCAGGACAAGGTCTAGCAAAGCCTCCACTTCAGATTCATCCCTCACAGCTTCTCACATGAGTCAAGCCATCCACATGGTACTTTGTTCTCAGCCATTTGCCTCCAGTGGGGAGAGGCCTTTGTTCTCTGGATGCCCAAAGAGCCCTGGCCTTTTATCTGCAGACGCCTACGCTGTTTCCATGGCAGAGATCTCAAGGTGTCAAGCTACATCCGTGCAGAGACTTACAGCCAGAGAGCCACTTGGATTATCCTTCCTTCCCTGCCACATCTCTCCCGTGGTGCGGGTGAGGGCTTATTTCAGTGTGAGCAACTCCTGCTGCCTCTGAGGGGTCTGGCAGTGACCTGGAGTGCCTTCGGTGGGACAGTGGTTCTACAACCCGCTGTCACTTCCCTGTCCTTGCACGGGGCGCGTCCCTCCTTCCCCTGTGGACCAGCACTCGAAGTGGGGGGTGTCTTACCTCTACTGGAGGCCGAGATGGATGGTCCTGGCCTCCCACACCTCTGTTGCAGCGTATCTGGATGTGGTGAGGGAATTGCGGAGGCATTGGGTGGGCTGGGTGCCTGAGAGCTGTGGTAGGGGTGTGCTAGCGACACTGCGGGCCAAAGCGGTTCCAGACTCTCGCGTGCAGTGTGCATACATGTCCCATGTGTGGAGTAGCAGGGACCTCCCTTTCTCTCACACCTGGCCGTTGCTGCTATGGCAGCAGAACCCGACTGAGCAGGCCCCGGGGCCGGCCTGATGCTCTTGCGGGTGATGAGTTCCTTGCCCCGCCTACCCGGGGCTGTACCTGCGGTACTGTGCATGCGGGGGCGCTTCCCTCAGCCCGGGGTGGAGCGTGGCAGCTGTAAGTGTCCGGCAGCTCCCCCCGCTCTCAGGCACAGCAAAGGG